TACATCAGAAAAGTGCGTGGAAAACTTTTTGCTCTGGAAGATGACTACAGCCTGCCCTCTACCAGGCTGTGTGCACATCGCAGTTCAAAACATGCCGTTCTGATGCTACGGCTGTTATTACGGATGTCAGAAATAGCCCTTCTCTTCAGTCTTGGTTTTAAATAACTCTGCATATATAACTCTTTTTTTTTTTTCTTTTCTTTTTTCCTAATGTTATTCCAACTAATAATTCTTAAATTCTACAGTCAGAGTAAAACAAGCACATACTTATCTGGTATTGTAAAACGTAGCCAGTAAGGTGGCCATTTGCTTTCTTGGGAAGTCCCCAGGACAGAGTGACGGAGTCCTTGTCGAAGTTCAGGATCCTTAGAAAACGTGGTTGTTCGGGGACTGGAAGATACAGGGATCAGCTTTCAGAGAAGAAGACTGAACAGGTCTGTCTCTACACATACTTGTTAAATGAGGATATAGCTTAGCTCTACACCTACAGTTCCTCTTTCTAGTGTTTTACGAATATTGGAGATTTTACAATCACTTTAAATAAGGAAATCAACTTGCTTGTTACGTGGATGATTTCTATTTATGTCCCTCTAGCCCATATTCTCATTTTGCCTTACCTCCTTCTGGAGTTTCAAACACGACGGGCGAGCTTTCCGGGCCATCTCCTTTGGTGTTGTAAGCCAGAACAGTCAAGCGGAATTCACTGAAGGGCTCTAGACCGGGAATCATCCCATAGTTTCTCTCTCCTATAAACGTTAGGAAGTGTTTCTCTGGGTGATGCCTTTTTCCATCCAGCATGCTTTTTGTTTTCCACCAACTGACCTGCATTGAGATTGGTATTTCTATAACAAATTATGTTGTATGGGGCTGAACACGATATTGATTTCTCTCATCTTCCCAGAAACGAGAGATTGCAATCTATCCTTGATCTGGGATTCGTTTATTCAACAATATACAAATATTTAAAGAGAAATTTGTAACCTTATAGCCTCTTAAATGTCCACGAACTCTGTCCCTTGGTATTCCAAACCAGAAGACTTTGACGAGCGTGCTGTTCACAATATCCACCGACACGCCGGAAGGAGCGGCATCTGGAACTGTAAAAACAAAAGTGCTGCATATTAAAGGCGCTTACAAGAGCTCAGTTTCACACTGTTCACAGCTACAGGGCTTGGCTTTCCAGCTCAAGCTGTGGCAGTTACGCAGTCTTACTGCAGGCAAGAAAAAAGCCATTCCACCTGCATCCAGTGGCTGAAATGTGCTAATAAACATTATTTTGCCATATCAGGGCCTTCTGCTGAGGGCTGGAATACAGGTGCACTGGGACATATGAATTTCTACACCAGTATTTATGATTTCCTGTTTCAAGTAATGCTTACAGCAGTGAGAAGAATAAAAAAAAATGATTAACACAGTACTCAACAAGGCAATCAGGAAGGTTGTTTTTTTTTTTTTTATAATCAATTTCATTTTACAACTAAGCTCATTAAACAGTAGGATTTTAATCACTACACAACACAGAGAGCTATTAGAGCGCCTGAAAGAAAGAGGTTTGATCCACTGACAATGGAATTGCAAGGAAGATTTTCCACCGATAGGTATACAATTAGATCCATCACAGACACACAAGGAAAATACACATAGAATCATAGAATCATTATGGTTGGAAGAGACCTCAAAGATAAGTCCAACCATATACCCAACGCCACCATGCCTGCTAAACCCACTAAACCATGTCTTGAAGTGCCACATCTAAACGTTTTTTGAACACCTCCAGGGATGGTGACTGCACCACCTCCCTGGGGAGCCCATTCCAATGCTTAACAACTCTAACAGTGAAGAAGTCCTTTCTAATGTCCAGCCTGAACCTTCCCTGGCACAACTTGAGACCGAAATGCTGCGGGATTTCTTTCTGTTGTCACTTTTCACCACCTCTTCTGCCATACACACTACAGGGGAGAGCAGATGCCCCACCAAATCTTCCTGTTGGCCACCTCTGAGTGCACAGTGGGGATTCTCCTGTCTGAACAGCACCAAGACCTTTCCCAGCACCAAAGCGTTATGCTGGTGAAACACCAGGAAGCACTTGCCAGGTTGTGAACATCAAACTGGTCCATTCAGGGCTGATAACGCAGAGCTCGGTGCGCTCACTCAACAAGAGGAGTTCTCCAGAGAGCCCACCTTAGGATTTGCTCCCCTCTGTACAGTTGGTAACATTTTTTACATCTATGGTTATCACAGTAACTTTACTGACAGTTTCAAGTCACCTACCATGGATCACGATACTCCACAACGGCTTCTGCGAGAAGCTGCAGCAAGTGGAGAGGTGGGAGCAGCAGCACCAATGTTACTGCTACTGGGGAGTGATGGCTGCGGGATGCGGTGGGTTAAATCAAGGACGTGGCTGTCTGGTCATTTTAATAAGCAGCCAAATATGTGCTTGTCTTAGTTGGCTAATCCACTGTGGAGTTTTCAAAGCCCATTCAAGCTGTCAGTTTATTTCATTCTTAGGAAAACAACTTAAAGATTTCAGATTCTGCACGGGATGAAAACTGTCTGACTTTAACTAATAAAATTAATCTGCCGATCTGAACCATGGACCGTTCGCTGGCCCTTCTGGCCCCTCTTTGCCAACAGCTCCCAGCCCCTGCTGCCAAATGTTTGCAAATGTAATAAGCATTTGCATTTGGGATCAAGGAAGCTTGGCGCTCCACGCTAGCTGGCCACCATGCTGTTTACTCCCTTGCTGATTTAAATCCTTAATTTCTACAAAAAAGATTCCTTTTTTCAGTGGTGTTAGCGCTTAACTGGGTTGCTTCCTAAAGTGAGGCTTGGCATTGCTTTACTGCAGCTGGATACATTCCCAGTCCTCCAAATACCTTCTCTAGTCATGCAGTGAACACCAAAGGGGACAGGCTGCTGTTCAGAGATGTTGAGGTGGCCTCAGAAGTGACATTATCCAGTGCCCCACGGACACAGCAGGGCTGTTGCATCCCGTGTGCCACCGGCATTAATTCTATTAGCAGGGCAATCCGCCCCTATGTTCACCTCTCCTAATGAGACGTGATTATTAAAGCCCATTGTGAAGCTGGAGCTTGAAGAGCATGTGCAAAGGGCGGGTATCATATCACAAGCGGTTGTTGTCATTTCAGAGCAGCCCAGGGTATCTATTTTGTGAAAATAGATGGCAAGGGGAGAAAGCCTCTTTGTTTGATTTGGTCTGGATGATGCACCGCAGGCCAGGCAGAGTCCAAAATCAGAGGTGGGCAGGCACTGAGAAGACCCAGGGAGGGAGCCTGGAGCAGGAGCAGATCCAAAGCAAAGCCTTACAGTGGAGGAAGACCTCTCCCGAGACACAGGGAGGCCTGAGAGAGGGCTGTGTCATGCGGGAGCCATGGAAAGCCACTGGACAGAAACCGAGACTGGAGAAGAGGACCCGTTCTTCAAGGACTCAATGGACAAGGGAACACCCAGGATACATGGGAATGTGGCATCATCTATAAATTCACTACAACGCCCAGTGCCTGAGTGTTTACACCTAATTGCCGGAGTATTTAACTTCTCACAGTGTTAAACTGTTGAATCGGGTCCCAGACAAGCTAAAGATTTTTTTCCCACCAAGTACAACACAATGACTGCTACACTTCATAGACTTCTTATGGACTGTGGCCTTCAAACAAGTATCCACATTAAGCCAGCAACTGAGATTAATGAAAGCACAAGTGACCTTTCCAAAAAACCCCTCAAACTCGAGCAAGCTGGCATCCACAGCAGCCAGCATCAGTCATATCTGTGTCTCATGTAGCCCATCACGCTGAGCGCTGCCATTTAAGCGGTTTTAGCCATAGGCTTCCTAATCCATCACTCCATATCCGATCGTTTTGCATCACAAGAATCCCCCACGCAGCGTATTTTTACATGAAAGTTTCCGCTCCTTACCATCCTCTCCTGAATATCCGATGGTAACGTTTGGTTCAGGACCGGATCCTAAATTATTTACTGCTTGGACTTTGATCTCATAAGGCACAAAGGTGGGAGTGTTTCGCAGGGTCAGAGAATGCTTCTTCACCGTCTCCTCATTCCAGTCCGCCTCGACTCCCCGCTGCCGCCAGCTGACTTTGTATTCCAGCCCCGGCCCGTTCCTCTCCACAGGTTTCAATGGCTGTGGAAGAAGTTAAAAGAGATCTTTTCTGCCTTTGTTGCGCTAATCACAAAATAGCAGCTGAGAGGAAGGGCAAATAATTTTGGAGAGTGTGTTACAAC